ATGGATAGATGGGTTGTGGACGGGTGGATGGATAGATGGGTTGTGGATGGGTGGATGGATAGATGGGTTGTGGACGGGTGGATGCATACATGACCTACATTGCTTGCTTCTGAGTTAGGGAACAAATATTTGTCAGTTACTAGTAGAAATTTTAGCTATATTTAATTGAAGGACTGTATATAAAGATCCAGTGCTTAGTTGGTACCCTTCCCCCTTACTCTGTTCTTGAGGATTTGTTCTTAGAGGTTAAATTTCACTTACATAACTAACACGTGAACATACTGAAAATTCAATACATTACTGATAAAGTCAAGGTTTTCTTTGTACACTTCCCTGAATCTTATGCCCTTACTATCTACTTTTAGGATTTTAACCTTCCAGTTTCTTTTTGTTCCCCTTCTCTCCCCTCCAGAGCCATGGCCTCAGCCAGAGTCTGTGTATACATATGCTTAGTTATGAAATAACAAAAATTTCAAAAATTGCTCATATCTAAGACCCCATGGTGGTCTTTTGAAAAAAGTATAAGGCAGTAAGTAATATCTTAGATTTTTAAAGAAGTATTGATACTTTGGTCATTCTGAAAAAAAAATCTACCTTCTGAATTGTGACTATGTTGGCTGGGTTATTGCTCTCCATATAGTAGAATTATACCTCAATAATGCCACACTCTTACAGTTTTAATTAATTTGCTCTTGTCATAAGCTAATTTTGTTCTTATCTTAAAATGCTTTAAAGGTTTGTAATTCATATCAAGAATCTTTGTCCACAAGTTAATAGAAGCTATCAATTTCATTTAGCTAAATTTTATTATAATGGTTATCAATACAATTTGTAGGAAATTTTTATACTTTGTGTAGATTTCCAAAGTTCATTTATAATCTAATTATTTGGAGCTCTGATTTCATTTTTTTCTAATATAAGTCAGGGTCCTTATTTCTAGCATGTACAAACAAGTATTAAGAGTAAGAAGAGTTGGTAAATATATTCTTTGAATTACATCTGACTCAGCGTTATTATTGCTGTGATTAAAAATACAATGGCCAAAGCAACTTGGCAAGGAGGAGGCTTATTTGGCTTACACTTCCATATCACTGTTCTTCATTGAAGAAAGTTGGGACAGGAACTCACACAGGGCAGGAATCCAGAGTGAGGAGCTGATGCAGAGGCCATGAAGGGCACTGTTCGCTGGCTTGGTTCCCATGGCCTGTCAATGTACTTTTTGATACACCCTAGAACCAGCAGTTACAGTAGGCCGGGCCCTTCCCATCGATCACTAACAAAATGTCTCACAGGCTTACTCACAGCCTGATCTTCTGGAGGCGTGTTCTTAATTGAGGTTCCCTCCTCTCAGATGACTTTAGATTGTGTCAAGTTGACATAAAACTGTCTAGCACAGTATCTTAAGTAAAACATGATGCATTTTAAAAAAAAATCTAAATCTGGGAAGTATAATTTATCATACTGTGTGTGTGTGTTCTGTCCATAGATGCACAGGTAAAATGAGTAAACGTCTATTGCTCAGAAGCTCTGCAGAGTAAAGGTGGCAGGGATTTGAGTGAGGGTGAAGTTGGCTGTATACTTTATAAAAGTGATGAGTCATTTATTCTATTGTTATGTGTTTAATAGCATTGACAGTTTGCATTTACATTTTGTTCTTTAGTTCATGTACTGTCTGTTGAAAACTCACTGTGAGGATAACTTGTCTTAGGTAGCCAGGGATGTTTCTCTTGTGTTGTTACACTCCTTGCATTGGATGGTTCCAAAGTAATTTTCTCTCTGACTGTTGTTATTACTAACAACACAAATTTAAAGCCATTGATAAAAACGATGAGCAACTTTAAGACACTCAGAATAAGTAGGAAATGCTAACTTATCCATACATCTTCCCAGATACTTTGTGGTTGTAGCTTGTACTCTGGAGGTGGATGTGGCTTCACAGGGATGGACTTTCCTCTTTGTCCTCAGCTACACTGCTGTCTCTTGGGACTTTTAGAACCTTTGGTTTTATAACACGTGTAGCTCCAGAAAGAATAGGTATAGTGGACTTCAGCATGCCTAAGAAGTAGCTTCAGGCATTTGGTCAATGGGTATGTTCTCCAGCTCCGCTCCTGATAGTTGGGTGCTGTTGACCCAGGTGGTTCATCTTGGTGCATTTGCCCACAGGCTCCCTACATAGCAAGAGCAGTGCTTAGAAGCACTGCCCCAGGATGCCCTGCTCTTGTTTTGTTTTCTCAAGTGTGAGTCACAAGCTCAACTCTTGGCTCCCTTGTTTCTAAGGGTGAAGTTGATGCCTTCTGAAAGCCTCAGGGAACAGCATGACATTCCTGAAGTGGTGACTGGACAAATGGAATCTGAAACTTTAAAGAAGAGTCTTGAAAGAATCATCTGCTTAAAAAGATACACTTTATTGGCAATTGTTGTCAAATCATAGTTGTATATGCTTTTAGTGTTGTGAGGAAGTGAAACCAGCCAGGTGTGCATAGAAAAAGAAATACTGTATATTCTCACTTTTATGTGAAACCAAAAACAATCGAACTAATAGGAGTAGACATCAGAAAGGGAATTAAAAGGCAGGGATGTTGACAAAGGCAAAATAGTCAACTCCCCCTCCTGTGTTACCTCCATTCTTGCAATTGCCCCTGATGTGTTTATAAAAAAAAATAAATAAAGAGATATAGAATATGTTCTATGGGGTTGTGGTGAGATATGAGGGAAGGGGATGTCTCACTGGGCCCATGCTGGGGCATCTCTTTCCCCTGAGGGAGCAACCACCAGATGGTATAGTATAGGATGGAGTTTATTCAGGGCATGGGGAGGGGAGTTAAGAGGGTAGTAGAGGCAGAGAGAGGGAGAGAGTAGAGAAGTAGAGGCCAGCTATGAGCACAAGAGGGGAAGGGAAGGGGGAAGAGGCAAGGGGACAGAGAGGGAGCAAAAGAGCAGGAGATCAAAAGAGAGAGCAAGAGAGAGAGGAGGGGGCAAGCAGCCCCTTTTACAGTGGGCTAGGCCTACCTGGCTGTTGCCAGGTTACTGTGGGGGCAGAGTTTAGACAGAATGCTAGCAGTTCCCCTCCCCCAACATAGAATAAAAGTGTGGTGTGTCACAGTGTGTCCCACAGTATACCTTTTGTCCTTACTTCTTTGCTTGCAAATGTTCATTGCAATGATCCCTTGGTCTGGTATGAGGCATCTGGCTTTGGCTACTCTATCAATACTGGAACCTCACTAGGACTCCTCTCGGATATCCTGTTGTTGACCTGTGTTATAGAGTTTCTGTTCTGTAGGCTTGGTTCCTTCATACACTCCAGCAGTTCATTGATGGTGTAGATGTTGGCAAATTCAAAGCCCTTGATCTAGGCTTGATGGGTATCTGAGCTGGTCAGCCCTTGGGTGCTCCCCTTTCAGGCCCTTGGGGCTGGCTCAGCAGCAACTCCTACTACCAGGGCCAACTCTACCCTGCTACTCAAGCAAGGTGCGGGCCTGCTTTCCTGAATGTTGCAGCCTGTGAGTGACATGGCCAGTTTTTCTATTCTTATGACCCCAGAGCCAGCTCTCTCTGCTGGCCATAGATGATGATGGATGAGGGAGGGAAGAAGGTTTTCTCTCCCCCATCTGTGACATTTCACACCAGGGAAGAGGCAGGGCCAGTGTTCCTATGCTCACACCCTGGGGTCCAGCTCACTTGCAGTGCCCCACATCTAGAGCTAGCTGTACTGTACTGCCCAGGGGAGGGTGTGCGGCCCCCTCTCCTGAGTGCTGTAGCTGGTGAGAACTAGGGCCAGCTCTCTGGTTCACTCCTACCATGTGGGCCTCTTTACTCTCCAGCCTGCTCCCTGTCCTGGGGGCCTATCTGGGCCTTCCAGGCGCCTCATTGGTGGTTATCTCACTTTCAGGGAATGTTAGGCTACTAATCATTCAGATGTTCACAGGTCAGAACACTGAGAGTAGTCATAGCCTCTCTCCTCTCTGCCACTTACTGACACATATGTCACACAGCAGCCAGGCCTGCAATGCTTCTAGGGGCAGGATTTTTGTTTTTTGATTTATTTAAGAGCAAAATCTCAAAAGATACGTGGAAGGGATGGCAAGGTGGAGAAAGTGATTATGGGAGGAGTTAAAGGATTGGGGTGTGTGTGTGTGTGTGTGTGTGTGTGTGTGTGTATGCATGTCTTTAAAGTACTTTGACTAAAATTCTCAAAGAAATGATTAAAATTTAAAAAACATAACTCAGAAAATATTTATTCTTAACAAGCATTTTGTTTCTTAGAAGTTTAATCCTTGTGGCTGACAATGAATGACATGTATCTGAGCATTAATTACAAGTGGTAGTTTGTGTCGCTGTGTTGTGGGAAATATTTAAAACGTCAGCTCAGAATCTTGCTCGTTCTTCATCAGCCGCCATCTTCCCGACTAGCGTAGGCCTCTGGCCTCGAGTGGCTGCGATGTGCCACTCGGCTCAGGCTACCCCCTTAGGCGGCCAGAGACAGCGGCCCTTTCATGCTGTCTCCACAAGGCTGGGTTGAGCCCAGACCATCCCGCCATCCATGCGGTACCCAATAGAAAATGAGACTCTAACACTTAATGACTAACCAAAGGCTTTATATGTTTGGTAATGCTCAATAACAAGATGCCCACACCATTGGAAGTTTTTCCCGATTAACTAACCTAGATATAAGTTGTTACCCAGGACTGCTCCTAGTACACATGTGATCATCCATGGCACCTACAACTCTCTCTCTCCTCCTCTTCCTTCTCTTCCTCTCCTTACTCTTCTTCTTCCTCTCCTTATTCCTTCCACCTTAGCTCCTCCTAACTTGTGGGGAAAATATGCCGCTACATCTTTGTACAGCTAAAGCCATACAGTTGGAGGGAACTGTTTGATGTTGTAGGTAGGGCTACTGTCCCAAAGCCCTTTAAATAGCGAAGGCCTTTGGAAGTCAAGCTTTTAAGCTGTTTTGGCTTGATTGTCTTCAGTCTTTTTAATGTGTTGGCTGGCCATTAGGACTTAACTGAATCTAGCATGCTAACAATTTGTTATTGAACACCAGGCAGTTAATTCATCCTGCCTGTGCTGATTAGGGTTTTGTCAACAGGACACAAGCTGGCAAGAGGGAGCCTCATTTGTGTAAACACAGATTGGCTTGTAGACTTGTCTGTGAAGACTTGCCTGATTAATGCAGCTCATTATGGGTGATGCCACCTCTAGCCATGTGGTCTTTAGTTGTTTAAAAAGTAATCTAAGCAATCAATGGGGAGCAAGCTTCTAAGCCTGCTCCTCTGTGATCCAAGCCACAGGCCTTGCCTCTAGATTCCTGCCATGAGGCCTTGCACAGTTCCCTTCATGATGGATTATAGGCTGTAAGAGGAAATAAGTTACTTTTGGCCATGATGTTTATCACAGTAATAGCAAACTAAAATAATAAAAGCTTACCAGTGCAGTTTGAAGAAATTATTTTATTGGTGAACTACTAATGTAACTTTTAGTATTTAACAGGTGCACCACATAATATATTTTACTGTCTATATATTTTTAAAATAAAATTATGATAAGCAATTCATCTAGACTTTGAATAATTAATGTTTATCTGAGAATTGGTATCATTTTTGAGTACATTTCTGTTTTCTGGACCTAAGTTTCTCTTTGGTGTCCCTCTTTTCCTCAACTATATAGATGCTGTTTTATGGAGTCTCTTACTACATTCTGTGCATATTGTTTTCAGTACCTGATCATTTTCTGTTTATAAAAGAGTACACTGAGGAACATTTATGAACATCATTTTTTTATAGTCTACTTGAATTTTCGTGGGTTTTGATTGTGCTGTGCTGAGTTGGATAGTTCCTTGGCTTTCCAGCAGTCCTTGCTCATGTGACTCAGCATAGATTCAAGAGTAGCCTCTGCATGTGGTATGGATGGCTCTAGAATTCTTGTTGCCAACCGGGAGTCTAGCAAGCAAGTTCAAAATTTTAAGAGTATTTGTTTTGATTTTCTAAAATATAAAATCTTTATTTCATTTGCTTTATTTGTGAATTTTAATGTCTTAGTACATAGACCTAGAGCTTGAGGAAGGCAAAAAAAAAAAAAAAAGGTAAGTTTGGGCAGGCGGAAACCAGACAGGTGAAGTAGAGACTTGACTCACTCACTGGGCCTGCTCATTTGCTGGGCAAGGCCTACCCATCTGTCATGACTAATTGTGAAATAGTGGGAAAGGCGGAGGAGGGGATATTGTGAGCTAATAGTATTCGGTTGTTAATTTTCTTTTAAACCCTTTCTTCGAAGCTCCCCAGCTCACTAGCTAGATACATGCTATTTTAGCAGAACAGGCTGTGAGGAAAACTTGATCCTGGTACCTTGAATTTGCTTTATAGAAAGCTGTGTTTTAAATGAATGCTTGGCATGTTATCTTTTTAACTTCGAACATCTTATACCACGCTCTCAATAAACAAGTAAACAAATAGATAAGTGAATAAATGTATGAATAATAAAGAAAGAAATGAATAAATAAAGCAAGCAGGGGTCACCTTTTGCAAACACGTCTAATGTCTTACAGGTTTAGAAGCATATCTAAGGAGGATTCAGGTCCTTGCAGGAGGAATATAATCTTCACTCTTGCAAGACAATTGAAGCAGGGCCAAGCTAAGGTTGTCAGTGGAAGATGTGTTTGGGTCTGTGACAGGCTTGTTTTCTTATTATTTCTACAGCTTTCCATGCTTGTTGATAAAAAGTAGTGTGACGCTGGGCTGCGTTCTGGAGCTTCTGCTTCCTCTCCCCATTGGTGCACAGGCTCTGACATCACCTTCCTTGGGGAGCAGCAGAATGTCCATTTGCCTTTGGCCCAGGGGAGCTGCTTTCAGGAAATGGACATGGTCAATAGACAGCAGCTGGTAGGAAAATGAGAGTGGACCTCCAGGGGCTTTTCAAAAGGGCATGGATTCAGTTTTGTCTCTTTTGCTCACACTGCTAAAGGGACAGGCAGGCAAGCCAGCAAAAGGGCTAGGTGAGAGGCATGATTTTGCCTTTTGCACCCTCTTCCAACCCCATGGTCCCTTTCCTGCATTATCCTTTTCTTTTGATGTTCATCTCTTCAGTCTTAGAAGTGAAGGATTTAGCCTCTCGCTTATTCTACTTTTCTGCCAGAAGCTTTTAGCTTCTCTTGAGAGGCTTCCTGTCCCAACTCGATGTTGTTATGGACTTTGGGAAGATGCAATTAGCCTATTCAAGGAATAGGGAAGAGTTAGTTGTAGGGAATGGTTATCCTCTTCTTCTCAAGCACCAGAGTTTTGTTTTTCTTGTTTACATGGAGGCACATGTATTTTTAGGGAAAAATATGCATAAATCTCCCTGTTTATTTCCATACATTGGAGGAATGGATAGTAGACATTTTTTAAAAGTTACAACAGGAAGTTTTTATTAAAGTGGAAGAGCTTCCTGTTGTATTTGGATGCACTGTACCAACAAGTACAGTGTAGCATGGCACATCTCATGTAGTCTTGTGATTATTTCATTAATGATTCATTGGTTCATGAAGTCAGCAGAAATGTGCTTACAGAAAATCAATGGTAACTATGGCTTTTGTTTACAGAATCAAAGCACAGACATGTAGGCATACAGGTGTGTGCATGTGTATTCGTATTTCTGTTTCAGCAGCAGTTTCTGTGGCTGCTGTAACAAGCTTAGCTTAAAACAATACAGGTTTATTTTTCTGACAGTTCTAGAGGCCACTAGGAGGACTGGCTAGCTTGGCAGTGGTTTCTCTGGAGACTCCAAAAGATAGTGTTTCCTTGCATTACAGATGCACTACTCTGCTCTGGACCCTTTCCTTCACTTCAAAGCCAAAGTCATTAGCATCTATCCTGGGAGTCGCTTTTGGTGTGGTTAGTTTTGTTTTGTTTTGTTTGTTTTTTGTTTTGTTGTTTTGTTTTGTCACAAAACTTCTGTCTGGTTTTCTCCCTTGCTTCCTCTGGATACCAGTAATAGCATTTCAGGACCACTTGAATAATACAGGAGAGTCCTGCAATTTAATTACCCCTGTACTATTCTTTATGAGTTTAACAGGACTCTCACTTCCCTTTCTCTGTTCTGAGTATAGATTAAATTTTTTCTTTCCTTCTCTAGACTTTTGCTCGCCCTAGCCCCAGCCCCAGCCCCAGCCCCAGCCCCAGCCCCAGCCCCAGCCCCAGCCCCAGCCCCAGCCCCAGCCCCAGCCCCTAACCCTTAGATTATTTGCTTAAAAGTATAATGGCCCGTTTTATACTTATGTGTTTGTAATTATATACATACGTGTGTGTGTGTGTGTATAAATACATAAACATGCTCATTTTGTACTATTAAAGGTTTTGGAAGACACACAAAGATGTGTCTGTTTATTTTCCGTCTTACCCTCAAATGATCAAGTGTCTCCTTGCTCTTACCATCTCCCCCATTTTTGCTCTTATTTTTTGTTGGAAGCCCCTGCCTCTAATAAATCCTCAGAACGTGAATCTGTAAACAGAGATCAGCTGTTGTGGCTGGATAGGTGCTGAGAGCTTGAGGGAGTAAGAATCCCTTCCCAACTGGGCTCCCTGAGATGCTCCCTGAGGTGCTCTTTCTAGCCAGCCAATCTCTGTCTTGCTGGCTGCAGGTGGAATGGAATGACTCATCTTCTTATCTAACTCCCTATCTCCTCACACCACCTGGCTCTCTGCAGACTCCTGTGAGGATACAGCCTCTCCTCCTTACTGCTGTTCTAGGTAAAAGGAAACAGCTGGGACTTAAGTTCTCTCACCCACCATGTGACAGTAAGAACAGAAGCTCTGGCCTGGGTGTAGACTTAACTTTTCAGTCAAAGCCTGGCTATTTCCTTTGGCCAAGGGACCATCCCCAGGAAGGAGAGGTCAGCTTAAGGCATGCTAAAGAGATTGGTGGAACAATTTGACCATTTCTTTTTCCTTCCAATTATTCTTCCTCCAGAACAGTAAATCTAGCCATGTATAAAGTTTCCAGGAAAATGTGATTTCCCCTTTTCTTCCTTATCCATTTTAAGCATGCTT